GTAACAGTTCCCTGGAGTCCCTCAGAGATCATCTCAGTGACACTCACTGGCTCCAGGGCCGCACCAGAGGATGGCATAGAATAAAGGTTAAGAACAAGGAATCTGAAACTGCACAGGCTTGGATTCCCAGCCCGGCTTGGCCACTGACCAGCTGTGTGTTGTTGTGCACGATGCTTAACCTCTCTGAACTGTGGTAGCCTCAGTTGTACCATGGAGGCTAAGAGGGCTGTTGCCCAATTGGGTGGTTGGAGGATTAAATTAGTTGATGTACAGACAACCTTAGGAAGGCCCGCCATGGGTGCTCAGCACCCGCTGCAGCTGCTTTCATGGCTGTGAGCCCTGTGCGCCCTGCCACACAGAGTCACCACCGCGCACGCCTGGCCGTGCCCAGTAGCCACAGCCTTGAGTTTGCCTTCTGCAGCCCTGGGCTCCGGGGTCCCCTGTTTTGGGCAGAAACCCGCTCCTGGCGGCTCTGGGTGAGAGAGGATTTTCACAGTCTTCTTGCAGCTCCTGCCACGGCGGGAGTGAGGGATGTGCAGCCCCGGGAGCCAGCTGCCTATTTTGCGCCAAAGTGAACAGCGCGACCTTTTGTGGTGTCTCTTTTTTGTAACGAATCTCACAAACGGCCGACACCAGTCTCCAGCTCTTTCACAGCTGCTTTTCAGGACCCCTTTGGGGACTTCTGAGCAAGAAAAGTGACACCGATCTCAAAACTTCGAATCCATCCTGCTGACGATTTTGCATCTGTCTTTTTAGAAATGCCTTTTCCCTCCCCAGGACGTGCCTGGCCGGCCGGCCCCTCAGGGCTGCTCTGTCAGTGCACGGCCTGAGTCAGCAGCCTCGTCTCCTCCGGGGCTTGTGCGTGGCCCAAGTTCAGATCTGAGGGAGGCACCTTTGACCCATGGAGGGGAGGCTCAGTGGTGGGCTAGCCCCGGCAAAGAGGGGTCCTCTGATTCAGTGAAGCCATCAGCTGCCTCCGCAAACACTCCTTCCCCTCCATGTCTGTTTTGGTTAATTTAAGAACAGCCGCCCTCAGTGGGAACCGTTCCTGGCAGCGTGACGAAGCCGGCTCCCAGGAGAGCTGCTGCGGAGGGAAGGGTGGTTAGCAGGGTGGGGGCGGGGGGGGCAGGGTGGGGCTCCCCGGAAGGGGCGGGGCACCGCGATGCTTCCTCTGTGAGGAGCCTCTGTTGTGCCGGATGAGCAACCGAACGTGGTTATTTCTGGGGAGGGTTAAAAGCAGCAGGAGAACGGATACCTGTGGTGGAAGAACCTGTGACGGAGAGAAGGGATAGTCACCAAGCCCTGCCCTTTCGTCCCTGGGCACACTCTGCGGTCTGCCCCCCACCTCCCCCACAGTCAGGGGTGTGTGTGCCTGACTGCGGCTGGCAGAATGCGGGTGCAGTGGTGGGCGACACTTCCGGGCTTGGCCCCGCGTGTGGTCACCTTCCTGCCTGCTGACTGACGATGCCCAAGTGTCACTGAAGACAGGGGTGTGACGATGTGAGACCCTCGCACGGAGGGAGTCTGGACCCACGGAGAATGATCCGTGAAACTGTAACATGCGTCAGGAAGAAGCCTGTACTGTTTTCAACAGCCTTTGGAGAGGTTTTAGAATAGTTGGCCAGGCCTGATGAACGCAGGTGCTCACGGTCAGCGAGTCCGAGTCTGTCACTGGAAGATGTGGGGGGACAGACGGAGAGATGACCCTCAGGGACCAAACCCGGCAGAGAAGGAATTACTCGGGGTGGTGACACGCCCGCACGGATGACGGGCGTCCCCGGGTCAGACGTGCCACAGCACTCGAAGGCCAGGGTCAGAGTCACGTTCAAGGACAACGACGCTTCCCTTACGTGAAACCAGACGGTGGTGACCCTGGAGACAGATGGACTTGCTTTGGGGCCGTTTGGGATGAGACCAGCTGCAGCCCCTGCAGGCGGCGGAAACGGTCTGCAGTCCAGAACCTGCGGTCTCACCGCAGTTTACAGGAACCTCTTCTGCACTTGCTGCAACCACTTAGGAGTCGTTGGGCTTCCTTTCTGACCCAAGGCCACGAGGATTCTCGCTGGGTCTGAGCTCCAGTGCTGCCCTGGCCGGGCCCTGAGGCGGCTTCCCTCCACCCAGGCCTGCTCCCACCTCTTTTCGGGGCGGCGATCTGGCTGACAGGGCCCGAGGTCCTCCTCTGGTGAACTCACCCCCTGCCCCCTGGCAGGCAGAACTCCTGCAGACCGAGCAGGCAGGCTGCTACCCCTGGGCTCCTCAGGGAAAGGTGGGGGTGAAGCCCCATGGTCAAGGTCCCTGGCAGCACGAAGCAGGTCCTATTATTCCTGGCCCCTTCTTACAGGGTCACCTCCCCACACGAGTGAGTCATTCACTGAAAGGACTTCGGGACAACAGGTCTGGGTGGGCATCTCACAGGGCCGTCTGCTGGGCGATCACCTGGCTCTCCTCTCTAGGACATGGGGGACCCTCGTCAGCATCTCGCCCACCTGAGGGGGCTGGAGTGGGACTTCAGCATGCAAGCCATGGGCAGTGGGGGTGGACTAATGGGGTCTTTTGTTTCTCTGTTCCTATTGGTCAAAGCCCACACTGCTCCAGGTTCCCAGGCTCTGAGCACATGGAGGTGAGTGAGAGGCGGGTTGTCTCCTGACCGCACTTGAGTTTGTAACTCTGGCGGGGGCGGGGGGGCTTGTTCAGTCTAATGCCTGGTGTGGAGGACAAGGGGCCTTCTGCCAAATCAGGCTTGTGGGGCGGCCAGGGAGAGTGAGAACTACAAGGCCACTGGTGACCCTTGAGTGATCAGTAGCTCAGTTTCAGACAGGTGGTAAGCTTAGGAGATGGAACGCAAACACTGATCCATGAGAAAGGGGGGCCAGGGGTCAGAGGGGCTCTCCAAGGAGGAGCGAGGCAGGGCTGGCCATGGAGGTGCCTCCTGGGGTCCAGCACATGCATGCTCGTTCGCAGCCGGGAAAACAGGGAAGGACACAGACATGTGATGTGGGGGGGTGGGGGAGGGAGAGGGAGAGGAGGGAGAACTGGTAAGTAGAGGGATGAACCCTTATGAAGCAGGTGACCTCCCGGAAGCATGGAGTGGCTGCCGTCCCCTCACGGCACACGGTGGGGTCATTATTATCCCAGTGTTCAGATGTGACAAGAAAACTGAGCCTCATTGGTTAGGACAATTAAGTCAGTGACTAGAATAAACATAGTGAATTGTGCAAATACATTAGACCTTCCAACCAGTTGGTTTGCCTTGTTAGTAGGGGAATCGGTGGTTAGCCTGGTGATACCAAGCATTACGCTCCCATCACGTGGATGTGGACACTGAGGCTCTGAGAGTTAAGGTAAGAGCATAAATATGTGTCTGATGCTTTATTCCTGATTGTGAGAGACAAGGTGTTGAAAGAAGGGAAGAAGGCTTTGGGGCAGTTTAAATCCATCTCCTGCATTTACTCTCTTAATGCATTTACCATTTTTAAAACACTGACTTTAGAGAGAGAGAGAGAGAGGAAGGGAGAGAGAGAGAAACATCTATTTGTCGCTCTATCTATTTATGTATTCATCAGTTGCATCTTGTCTGTGCCCTGACTGGGGAATCAAACCCACAACCTTGGTGTATTGGGATGATGCTGACAAGCTGAGCCACCTGGCCAGGGCCCTGCCTTGCTTTTCTGTTTTTGTGGTGAATTCCATGGATTAGGAGCTTACTAGACAGTGTTTTCATTCTTGGAAGCAGCTCCAGGACTGGCCACCAGGAATATTGTCCAGCTCAACATAGGGCTCAGCTACTTCCTTGGGGGCCCAGCCCCTGTTACTGAAATTGCCAGGGAGGCATGTGCCCCGCCAGCATGTCCACGTCCTAACTCCAGGATGTGTGACTGTGACTGTGTTGAGGTCACACGGCAAAGGGGAATTAAATTTGCAGGTGGAATTCGGTTTTCAAATCAGCTGACCTTAAAATAGGGAGCTGTTTCTGGATTATCTGAGTGTGGCCAATATAATCACAAGGGTCCTTAAAAGTGAAAGAGGGAGGGGAGGACCAGGGAGGGGGCAGTGTGAGAGGACTTGGCCTGATGTCACTGGCTTTGAAGACAGAGGAAGGGGCCACGAGCCAGGGAATGTGGATGTCCCTCTATAAGCAAGAAAAGGCAAGGTTCACCTGTAGAATTTCCTGGCGGGAGCCCAGCCCTGCCCACAGTTTGACTCGAGGCCACTGGGACCCGTTTTGGATTCCTGAACTCCAGAATTGTGCGATAATGTAGTTTGTGTTGCTTTAAGCCACTAGGTCTGTGGAACTTTGTTACAGTAGTCGATGCAGTTGAGTAGTGCACACAAAGGTTACGGTCAGTTTCAGGAATGTGAGGGTAGATTTCAGGCGTAGAGAAATGTCCCTGAACTCAAGACAGCTCAGCTCCCAGGTCTGCTACAGCTTCTGGAGGTCAGAGACACTGGGGCCAAATCAGGGCACAGGGTGTGGCCTGAGCTTCATGCCCAGAGGAATTTCTCGTCTGGCCCCAGTTCCTGCGGGGACCACATAACCAGGATGCTGCAGTGTTGTAGACCACTCTGTCTGGTTTTAGGAATTGTATCTCTACCCCCTGTGGCTAAGGGCGAGGGACGACCTCTGGAATGCCAGCGGCAGGAGACAAAGCCTGTCTCTAGTAGCAAACGCCGCCTCAGTTCCTCTCCCTGCCTCCAAAGCTTGGTCGGAAGTCAATGATGGGTAAGACCCCTCACAGCGGGGGGCAACCTAGGCCAGACTCGATCACCTGGGAGGCCTTCATGGAAGGACTCGGGGGGCTGCAACAAAGAGCAATGGACTCTCGCCCCCCGGCTTTGACAAAGCCCGAGTCCCCATGTTCTCTGGGAGAAGCACTTCCTGGCTCTAATCCCCTTAAGCCTGAAAACCTGATGGGAAGAGGTGCAGCTCCTTGCCTTGCTAGTATCGGGGAGAAATCTGGCATAAGAAAGAATTCCTAAAAATCCTGTGAAAACTGCTTTGATAAGAGTGCTTTCATTCATATGTTAAGGGTCCGAGCAGGAAATTGAGTATGTCTTCCAAAGTTTCTGCAAACCCCCTTTCTTGACAGAAACTGACTCAGACTAAGCCCTCAGATTTCTTTGTAATGTTATGTACTGTTTGATCCTTACTGCCTGTATTCCTGTGTATGACAACATAGTAAAAGGCTATGGAGAAAGGTGCTCGGGGCCTTTTTCTCCCCTGAGAAACTGGCCACAGCCCACGCCTCCTCCTCCCCAAGCAGATCCAGCATCTTTCGGCCATATTTACTCATTCACGCATGTCCGCGGCACCAGGGGGACTCTCGAAAGAAGTCGCCCCCACACTGCAGTTCACTTGACGTCTTTGCCTCTGTCTCTCAGCCTTCCTACATTTTTATCTTCCTTCTTATCCTTCAATTTCTCGATTGTCTCCCATAAAATATCTTACCCTTTCGGCATGAGATTCCTGACTTTCAAACTCTTCAAGATGACATCATCTGAGGAGTCCATCTGTTCCCACCCGCACTGCCAAGAATTGGAATAGCAAAGCCAATGGCATCCCAGAGGGGCCCGTGCCCCTAGGATGGAGAAGTGCAGGTGGCACTGGTCTCGGTAAGTTAGGGGTGACCTGCTGGTAACACTACCTTTCCGTTGCAATTCTGGGAGGTCCTTCCTAATGTGAAAAAGTAATTCCTGGTCACCTTTGCCACCACCCGAACATTTGAAGTCAAGAAACATAAGCACAGCTGCTTAGTATTTCTCAGTAAGCTCTTACGCTCATTCCGAGCATAAGAGCTCAAGTTTGCAGGAAAAGCGCCCCTATGCCTGTACCCCGACTTCACGTTTTGTGGGGCTTCCCCTTGCAGCTTGCCTTGAGGAAAGCAACGTTCCGTAGTGATAATCAAATTTGTCCATTAGAATTCTTCCCGCTAAAACTGAGCCAGTGCTGTGTGCCGGCCTCCGACAGGGACTGCAGCTAATTAGAATCTCAGCAACGCTGCCCAGCTCACTCCCACATCTGCGGCATTATTCCAATCAATTTTATTCTTTCGCTAAGCTGCCAATTTAAAAATGCGTTTATTTGAAAGGTACACAAAGATTAGCTTTCAATTTTCAACTTCAGCCTCAACCTTACATTCACGGAGCATCTTTCACGGGTGGCTTCTCTTTTTGTCCCTGCAACCTTCGGCAGCTGCGTTAAAACCTACTTGGAGAAGCAACACCCATCCTGGCTTCAAGGAAAGAAAAAGTAAAATTACTAAATAAAGCACAAACTATTTAGAGAGACACGTGAAGGTGGAGAACAGCAATGAGCGAGTTCACCTGTTCATTATCAGGGTGGATGTGCTGGGTCACAGGTCTGTTTCCCATGGAAAAAGAACCCGTCCAATAAATGGTTTACAGTAATAAAACCCGAAACCACATATCTCCTTTCATCGGAGTGAAGGTCCAATTCATAATAGCATTTCACATCAGATAATTCTGAAGGTTCTTTTTTTCCTTCTGTGGAACCATTTTTTAGCTGAAACATTGTAGTCTTGAAAAAGCACAGAATTACAAGAGAATCTGTACGTATTTCAGGAGTGAGCTTCCTGGCAATCAGCATGTAATAGAAGAGCATGTTTAACATGAAAGCACCTTGAAAACACATATTCCAACATTAATTTCCATTTCATTATTTAAACTACATGTCCAGTAATGATATCGGGCCATGGAGCAGGCACAAGGCATTTCCAGAAACCTGCCACTTACCAACTGAGAGCTGTCCTGCCTCCCCCCCCCGCCCCAGGGGCCCAGCCATGCGGCTGAACAGGGCCACGGGGAGAAGGCGAGGGGAGGGCCGGCACCGTCTCGGGGCAATTTCCAGTCTACGCTGACCCAGGAATCATACACTGCTGAGTCTGGACTAGAGATTTCATACATTGTCTGCATATTGCCTATTGTGAATCTTAAGCTTTAACACCTTAAATTCAATTGAAGTCTTAAATCTTCCCAACGCAGTTAGATCGTAATTTTGGTTGAATTAATACTTTGTGTTCGTATTATCTTGACTAGATAAATGTGGTTTGCTGTCCAGCCCGGGCGGGGTAGGCACCAGGCTTCCTTGCATGTCCTCGTTTGGGGCTTTGCTTCCACTGTGTCTCGTTTAGTCCCACCCCGTCTCCTCCACGATTTGAGTATTGGGAGCGTACTGGCCACTGCCTATTCCGATCTTTAGTCCAGACCTCTACCTTGACCTCCAGACCTCTGCACCCAATCTCCTTCTCAACACCTCCTCTTGGATGTCCAATAGCTCTCAACCTTAAGGTCTAAAGCACAATTCCTTAGGTCACCTTCCCCACCCTGCGCATTCATTGCACTGTTCCCTGTGCCAGTTACCAGCCACTCACCCCATCCTTCCACTTGCTCAGGGTAAGAACTGGAGGGGCTTTCTGATGCTCCCCATCCAAACTCAGCAAATTCTGTTACCTCCACCTTGAAAATACGAGGTCTGTCCAGGAAGTATCCAGCCATACAACATGAAAAATAGTGACATTTACTGAAGAAGATACAAGAAACATTGTGCATAGGACAATGACATCTCAGTCCCCTTCAAAGTAGACATCTTTGGACCTCACACAGTTCGCCTGTCATCTCCTTCACTGTTCAAAACACTGCAAAATTCTTTGTTGGAATCTCCATCAGCTTCTCTGGTATGTTTTCCCGAATCTCATTGAAGGTCTTGAAATCTCTTCCCCTTCAAGGTGATTTTAGTTTTGGGAAAAGCCAGAAGTTGCAGGGCACCCAATCTGGGCTGTAGGGGAGCTGAGGCACCTGGGTGATTTGATGTTTACCCAAAAAACTCTGCACAAGACATGATGCATGAGCGGGCACCTTGTCGTGATAAAGCTGCCAATCACCGGTCGCCCACAGATGCAGCTGTTTTCATCCCATTGCATCTGTCAACTGATGGAGAACACTAAGGTAGTTAGTGCTCCTTATTAGTTGTTTGGCCTGGAGGGGTGTACTCGTGATGGACAACATCTTTGCCATCAAATAACACCGTTAACATGGTCTTGATCTTGCTGCGACTTTGCCGCACCTTCTTCAGGTGTGGAGAACCAGGGGACTTCGATTAGGATGACTGGGCCTTCATTTCTGGATCACAGCTGTAGACCCACGATTCATCTCTGGTTATGACCTTCTTGAGGAAATCTGGTTCATCGGCAGCCGTTTGAATCAGGTCATTAGCAACTGCAGCGCACTGTTCCTTCTGCTCTGATTGCAGAGGCCGTAGGACAGATTTTGTCACGACACATTCCACGCCAAGATCCTGCGTCAACAGCTTGGACACAGTAGTGTTTGGAATCCCCAGATCAGCTTCTCACGCTGTCAGTCGCTGATCTCGTTCACTGCAGCCCGTACACATTCAACATTCTCAGGTGCTCTGCTTGCTGCAGGCCTTCCAGAATGTGGGTCACTGTCAACAGATTCTTGACCATCTTTGAAGTGTCTGTGCCACACTTGAATTTGCACTCACTCATTACATCATCTCTGAAAGCCTTCTGAGTAGTTCCCACAGAGGAAGGTTCAAACCTAAGGCAAAATCTGATGCAGACTCATTGCTCTACTTGCTCAGTCATTTTGAATGTGATGGCCCCACAATGCACATGCTCACTCAATGGCGTCTACCACCCCCACTGACTAGCGCAGTGAAGCCATCATTGTTCACGCATGCGCATCCCAGTCCACTCTCCTTGGCTGCCAGGTTGCATTGATGTCACACAGACTCTTCTGGTTGTATTAATAATGGCTGCACTTTTTTTCTGGACAGACCGTGTGTACCCAGAATCTGTTTCTCGCCACCTCTCTCTGCCATCACCGTCGTTAGCCCACATCCGATGCCTGCAACATGCCCTGTAATTGGTCTCCCTGCTTCCACCATTGTTCCCCGACAGTCAACTTCAACACAGCAGTTGGAGGGATTCCTTTAAAAGGTAAATTAGATCAGGTTGCTCCTCCACACACACCCTGCTGTGGCACTCTCCATCCAGGTTCAGGCTACTCCCGCCTCACAGGTCTGGTCAGCGGTCCTTGAACACGCTGGGGGCACTCCCTTCACAGAGGCTTCGCACTAACTTTGCTTCTGATCCCCCCGGAATTCCACGTGGCTTCCTCCCTCCTCTCTTTCTGGTCTGTTAGCTGAAAGTCAGGGATCCCTGCCTGGTCTCTCTGAAGTTGGCCCTCCATCCCCCCCGGACTGCCCATTCCCACTTCATTTCTCCCCACAGCGCTGTCACGGTTTGAGACTGAGTGACAGATCTTGTTTCTCTGTGGCTTAACACCACATATCCCAGGTGGCTTATTTAATTGTCATTTCCTTTGTGAATGCATTATTGTTTTATTTCAGTATTATTTTCTAAGGATCTGCTTCTCCCTGGGCCTGTGGAGATTGCTTTGAACCAGGGTGATCAAATGCCAGGCAGCTGCGTGAGAAGAGAACTCAGGGCTCAGGGGAGAAGGAACCTGGAGACTCGGAAACCATAGACAAAAGCCCAAAGAATGCACCAGAAACAACGCCACCCTGCCAACGAAGCCACGGCCAGTGAGACTAGCTGAGGCCCCAGCCCGGCACTGACATTCCTCTCTGTGGGGGCTCCTGGGGGGCAGAGAGAACAGCTTGGCAATGCAACCGGGACCTGTGTCTTCTAGCCCAGCAGCCCGAGTCCCCACCACGGCCTGCCGCTGCCAGGCACCCGTCTCCAAATCCAGCTGATTCTTTCTGCAGGAGTCCAGTGCAGGCAAAAGCACGGGCTGGGAGTCGGATGGGTCTGAGTCTCAGGCTTGGTTCTGCTCCTCCTAGCTGTGTGATCTTGGCCTTCATCTCCCCAAGCTGCGGTCTGCTCATCTGCAGAGCAGAGAGAGTAACAATGCCTGCTGCAGATGTGGGGAGGATTCGAGGAGGTCACGCATGAGCACAGCGTGGGACACACGGCAGCTGCTCCGTTCACCAGCTGTCGGTGCCATTTCTCTGCGGGTGAGGGGAACCCTGAGGGCCACACCTCCATAAATGTCGTCCTTGATTAAAATTCATGCCATTATCCACCGTTGTTTTCATTCTTCTTTCAGCAGCCTGAACCCAGGTCTTCATGGGCTTTTTTTACCACCGGCTGCTAAGATGGCCCCTTGATTGCCTGCCTATATCCAGCTGGTGGTGGGATGAGCTCCTCATCTCTGGAAGTGAGCAAGAAGCAAGAAGCTCCCTGATGAATTCTTGCTGTGCTTCAGGCCCTGGACTGGAGGAGTGAGGCCAGGTGGTCAGCCTGGATCCCCTCATCAGTTTCGGAGGAGAGGTTTTCATTCTGTGAAACGGTGAGCCCCAGACTCCGTGTGTGAGTGTGCTGCCTGGCAATTAAAATCAGGGGAGTTTAATCTGGAGAGAGTTCCAGCTCCGTTGTTTGCCCTTTTAATCTTGTCTGTTGCCATGGGAACGGCAAGTGATTGCAATCACCACTGTTTGTATTGTGAGCTCGCTCCCATCGATGTGGCTTTTGAAAAATAAGAAATACGAATCTTGACTTCGACGTGCCACTCATTACTATTCAGAACAAACCTCGGAGAAGTTCTGCCCACCGCTTGCTTCCCGGTGCACGGGGAGTTTGGAAATTCCCAGCAGCCCAGCCTCAGGTCCCTGTGTCCCTTCGCCCCTCTCAGCCAGGTGCCTCTGCAGAGGGTACACTCAGAGCCTCGCTGCTTCCCTCTCGCGGCCACAGCACTCCATTTCAAGCTCGTTGTTATTACGTTAATGGCTCATAATCACAATAATGATCACTTTCTGAAGATGGAGGGAGCAATGCTAGCAGGTCCGCGGCCTTGCAGAGGGGTAGCCTGGGGAGAGCAGCTTCCGTGTACCTGCCACGTCTGAGGGGCCCAGGAGATGTTCGCTCTCGGGCTTGGCGGCACCCGACCTGCCTTCCCTGGTCCACACCCGACCTGCCTTCCCTGGTCCACACCCGACCTGCCTTCCCTGGTCCACAGAGCTCTTTGGGGACACGCCCATCCAGAGGCTGCCTGGAGGGCCAGCCCCCAGCTTTCCCACATGCTTCTGAATAAATCTGAAATGCCTTTGCCTCCCCCTTAGCTTACAGACTGGGATATTGAGACAATGTGAAAATGTTGGCCTAATGCCCGGATATAATTGATTAGACCATTTTTCTTTGAATAGGAAAAGACTCCAGAGAACATCTGATCCCACCTGCTGTGTAACAACTCAGAATAAGCTCCTGAGTGAGGCCCTGGCTTGCCAGAGGTCACCTAATAAGAGACTGCCTCCCAGCCCCTGTCTTCTGGTTTTCTGTAAATCTGATCTCATTTGTGAGATACGCCCCAGGGCATTTCATTTCATAAACTTTACACAATTAAAACTATCTTGTAGTTGAAATACACACTTGCCTTAGATGACTTTTCTTTAGGTAAGATGCAAGTTGGTATACAATTTTTAAAAAATGAGTTTAATTATAGAAATCGGACTATGTTCTCAAGTCAGAGCCGCAGGCCAGGAGCAGAAATAGGCCCTCACTGATTTCAGAATCAGCCCTGACCTCCAGGCCGTGGCTCCAGGGTTGTCTAGCTGTGTGGTGCTGGGGGACCTGCCTCACGTCCTGGACCCTCAGCATCCTCTTCTACGAAATGGACAGAATGGGGCTTGCCCTGTCCACCTCCGATCAGTGATGAGGTTATGGATATGGATGTATTTTGTAAAGTATAGAAATTGTACACGATTAAATTACGGTGATTGTTGTTACAGACTCTTGGAGTTAGGTCTTCTGGCTCCAGACAGGAATGCAATTCCTCTTCTAGACCAGAGGTCTGCATGATGGACCTAAGATTTTACTCTTTTTCCTTGGATTACAGGCCAATCAAGTATGAGAAGTATACCCAATACTAAACCCCCAGCCTCTAGCTCAACAGATGAGCCATAGACCCATTCATTCAGGCAAGTCCTGGCCCCTCCCTGCCGGCGGGCCCTGAGCTGAACACAGGGATGCCACCGTAAGTAAACAAAGATGGTTCCGGCCTGGTAAAGCCTCTCTGAATTCTCTGCCTCTGGCATCAGCATCTCGGTAGGACCAGGGTTTTTAGCCCGGCATTTGGGGCATTTGTTTGAAAACCAAAAGCCTCAGAAAGGACGCTGAGGTCGTATCTTTAAAAAAACAAACTGTGTTTTTAGTTTGAAGTAAACTTTGATTCTTCTAGTGAGGGAGGTGAGGGAGGGGGAGGAGGAGATGGGCAGGGCGGGTCCCCCCTGGTTCAGACCTCAGGCTGGTCCCTCAGGAGGCAGCGTGGACACACCAGAGGGTCAGACCTCCCACCCCCACCCCTGGACTCAAGAGTATAGGCTCTCCAGACCCTGGTGGTACTGGCCACCACACGCTGTGGGCGGCAGAACTTCCACAGTGAGGTGACTGCTGGCTGCAGTTCTTTAGAGCGGACCTTCTCTGTATAGGACCAGGAGGCAAGCGTTTCCTGCTTTACGGACCACGTGGTCTCTGCTGCAACTGCTCCACTCTGCCGTGCTGGCGCAAACACAGCCACAGACAACACATAGATGAACGGACATGGCTGCATGCCAATCAAACTTCATTTGCAAAGACAGGTGGCTCTGGAGGATGTGGCACTGTGAGCCATTTGTAGCCAGCTCCCACAGCACTGGCTTGGAAGGGGATAGAGAAGGTACAAATAACGTCCATGTCTTCATTAGCTACGTGGGAGAAACTCCCGCACTGGCTTCCAGAAAGCCGGAGGCTTTGACCGGGGCCTGCCTGCTGGGCGGGCCCCGCTGTCGTGCACACTCGGGAGAGGTGGATACCGCCTTCCCTCCAAGAGACAGGCGCACAGTAGGTAGACTGAGCTGGGGGACTCTCTGAGCTGCTTCCCAGAGCAGCCCTCAGCATCCGGAGCTGGCAAACCAGGGAGCAGACACGGAAACTAAGGAGCCCCAGCCCCGATCATCCAGGCTCTGTGGGCGCAGCGGGGGAAGGGCACGCAGGGGCTCTGAGAGAGAGTGCTGGGAAGCAGGCACTGCCGTTCGTCCTGGGGGAAGAGCAGGACTGCTGGCTTCAGCCTCTCTGTCCGAGGCAGCGTGGCACCTTCCTCGCTGTTAATCTCAGAGTTATACGTGCCTAGAAGAAGGCCACGGAGACAATTTGTTGTCAAAACGACCAGGTTCACTTTGGGCATATTGAAGAAAAAAAAGCTATTTTCTAGTGTCTAAATCTCATTAAAAAAGCAATTTTGTAATCAATTACAATGCAATTTAGCCACTCACTGTTTAATTATATATATAAAAGAAGAGACGAAGGGGCAGCAGAAGTGAGTTTGTTCTTCCTGTCCTCATATTTCTGAGCCAGGCCGAAAGAGCCTGTCTCCGAGGACGCTCCGGAGCAGGATGAGTGGCCGGCGTGGCCCAATTACAGTCCAAGTTAAACTTTCCAAGTCAGTATATCACGGCGGCCTGCGGAGGTCGCCTGGCTCGGAGCACACCAGAGTGGGAGAGGCTCATTTTTCTGCCAGAGCTCGGACCTTTCTTACTCTGTCATGCACTATAAAAACGGTATCATTCTATGTGGATTTTATTAAGGGAAGATTATTTCTATAAATTATTTTTTAATGCTGTGGAAGAATTTGCCTTCCGGAACCATCTCGGTAAAAGTACTGGGGGGTAAAAAGAGATTGGAGTCTGCAGAGCGCTGGGGACTCAGGGCCTGGGAGCGTGTGCAGAAGGTGGCCAACCGTGGGTGGCCGTCCCCATGGGGAAGGGCTTGGAGGGAGGACGGGGCACCTGGAGCCACAGGGTGGGGAGGACACTGACACGTCCCTTACTCGGAGGCCGAGGGGAAGGGTCGCCCCCCGGACCCTGTGCACTGTTCCTTCTGCCGCAGCTCCCGTCCTGGCTCAGGAACACGGAGAACCCAAGGCAGAGGCGCTGGCCGAGGCCTGTCCCCTTCCGAACACCCCTCCTCAGGCCCATTCCGGCCTGCGGACCCACGGCTCCTTCTCTTTGCTGCTGGCCCACGTTCGACTGCCCTCTCCTCCTGGACACTGCTTTCCAGTCGAAGCGCCACAGCCACCAGAACCACGACTCCACCTTTTCAACCCACCTGGCTCCCTTCTTGCCAGGGAGGGGTATTGGCTTCACAGAACCCGGATAGCCGGGTCTTTGGAAACATTCAAAGGAGGCTTATTTTTGCTTTTCTTCTGCCTGTTTGGAATCACGAAGGTCAGGGGGATGCCTGTTGAGGGTGTTTTGGGGGGCATCGTGGGCTGGGCAGAATGTGCTGGCTGCAAAAGATAAGTCACCAGCGTCGGTACTCTTGTTTCAGAAAACGGCTGCATCAATGTCGAATGTGGGCTAGAAGCTGCATTCACGTCCTGAACTAAATGGTACGTTCCTGCCCTTAGCGCATCAGCTTGTGGTTAAAGCCCAAAGCCCACAAAGCTTCAGCCGTGAGTTATGTTCACAGAAATCTTTCAACTTCACAGCAAGAAATCTGTTTCTTGTCCTCAGGCCGAGTTTCAGCTCTGGCCCAGTGTGGCCCAGTGTGAGCCCTGGGTTCTGGCTGCAGGAGGAGGACTGACCCCAGCTATTATTTGAATTCTGGCTCCGTTTTCAGACTGAGCTCTGGTGCTGGCCAAAGCTTGAGGTCCAGACGCTAGCCCCCGACTGAGCGTGGGCCTTTGCGTGGTCTTATCTGTGAGCCGGCTACAGCCAAGCGTGAGCCCTTCATCTACCAACAAATGGCGTTGTCACAGGGAAGTCCCCCAAAGAGCCCAGGCTTCCTCCCATGGAGGGGTGGCACAGCCAGGCCCTGCACCCATGAGGCTTGGAGACGCCCTAAGGGCAGGGAAGCTGGTCAAAGTCCCTCAGACTGTAAGTGCGGCTGCTGCTGTCCCTGTGTGGAAGGAGGTCCCTGGGGGAGATGAAGAATGTGAGCATTTTACCCAAACCCCAGCTGGGCTTGGTACCTGCTCGGCACCTGCTCGGCAACTGTGCCCATTAGAGATGCCACAGAGGTTTCTAACGTCCCCCCTGCCATGGACCGATTGTTATGTCCCCCACCCCAAGTTCATTTGTTGGAACCCTAATCCCCAGTGTGATGGCATTTGGAGGTAGGGCGTTGGGAAGTAATTTGAGGTGGGTAAGGTCAGGTGGGTGGGACCCTCACAATGAAATTAATGTCCTTATGGAAAGAGGAAGAGACTCCAGGTCTCTCCTTTTCCACCACATGGGAACATAGTAAGAAGGTGGCCATATACAAACCACGTAGAAAGCTCTCCCCAGACACCCAATCTACTGGCACCTTGATCTTGGACTTCCAGACTCCAGAACTGTGAGAAATAAATACTTAAGCCACCTGGTCTCGACACTATTTTATTACGGCAGCCCACGGGCCCTCTCCTCCACCCCATCTCAGTTCCAAAGGCTCTTCACTCAACTTAGCTCACGAGGCACTGTCTCTGGGATAAAACAAATGATGATGATGATGAGGGCTAGTACTTACACAGTGCCTACTGTGGGCCAGGCTTTGCGTTCATGTTCTGTCCACTTGATTTCACAGAACCCTCACGAACAACCCTGTAAGATCAATATTCTTACCTGTCCAATTAACAGAGGGGGCCAGTGATGTGCGACCCAGGCAAGACATGAGCTCAGCCTTTGCTGACATCATAGAGGATGCCTGTAACCCTCATGCTAACTAAGCAGAGTAATGACAGGTCATATTTGCACAGGCAGATCATTTGGATTGCTGAGGCCCTGGGGTTAGATGTGAGAGAGAAGAAATGGGGGCCTGGACACGGGGCTCAGCTGGGGAGGCTGCTGCAGAGTCCGGCCCTCTGGAAATGCAGCAGCAGATCCTCTATGGAGAGAAGCTGACGAGCCACCACCTTTGTTCTGTCTGCTTGAACTTCTCCCAGGACATGGCCGCTTCGAGTGGAAAGGCTGGGGGACCCACGAGGTGGCCACCGCTGCAAGGCCTGGTGGCTGGACCTTGGACAGCTCCTGCCTCTTCGCCAGGGTGCCTTCCCGGCCTGCTTGACCACTCAGTTTCCACTTATCTAATTCCCAGTCAGCCTGGCCGTGAGCCATGCTATGTAGACAGAACGCATAATTACGTATCGATTTTCTTCCAAAGACACGTAGCCTAAAGTTAAAGTGGCACTTTGGTGGCCCTGCATAAACACAATCTGAGGAGAAAAGAGGGTTCGATTTGGGGAGGGTGTGAAAGGAGCCAGATTCCTGGGTGAGGGGCAAGGGCCCAGCGTGACCCAGGAGTGGGAACTCCCACTGTCTGGGCTTTGGGGCTGGAGGAGGCCCCATTGCCGCCTCATTGGGATTCAGATGCTGCCAGGGCTGGATGTGGGGACTGGCCACCGTTGGGGGGACAGAAACCTTCTCTCCACCTCATCAGTGGTAAGGTGAGTTGAGATTCGGTCTGTCCGTTTGTCCATCTATGCAGTCCTCCTCCATCACTGCCGTTTTCTGCGAGTTCCCTCAGGTGATTAAGTTTCATGGTGCTTCGCCAGATGGCATATTCTCTCCCTTTGCCAGTCCTCCAGGGACTGTCTGAAACACAGGCCAAGCACTCTTACCTCAAAATTATATTAAGGAGTTTAATTAACAGAAATGACTCCGTAACCCATAGATCACACTGGGAGTGGGTGTGCTCCATGCAGACGCACACAGGCTCCTGGCTGGCTCCAGGCGTCTGGGGGCCCAGCCACGAACTCCACAGCTATCAAGTCAACCCCTGCCCTCCCCTCCTTCCCCAGGAAAAGCTTCAGTGGGGAGCCCTAGGTCCTGAGGTGTCTGCCTGCCCTAGGGCCCCTCCCCAGGGGCACCAGCTTTG